AAGCAACAAAAAACGGATGAGATGTTTGCCGTTGTTACGGTTAACAATACTCTTTCATCATCAAGCACTACGACACAACGACCTAGTGTGGTGATAAATTTCTTGTATAAGCTAACTGAAATAGCAGCCTATACTTCGGTTATTTTCAACGATTTTTATCAAATTATTTCGGCTGGTGACAAAATTAAGCAAGAGGTAGAAAAGAATGACAGAATTTCTAAAAGGATAAATAATCGATATCCTAGTATCGATATGTTGCAAATCAGCGTCGATGATTCGAATGATCCTGATGTTTAACGGTGATTAATTAAGTGATAAGATTGCACGGAACAGTAATAGTGTCGAGGCAAATTGGTCTTGAGATATGTAATAATCTTGATAAAAAGTCTCAATCTTCATGACGATGAATCTTAACTATCGTACCCACGTGGTTTAAACGGACAATGTCTATGACTAGATTAATTTGATTAATTTGATCAATGATCAGAAATTTAATACGTAATAAAACTATATACGTAGTACATAAACCCATCTGCTGTATTATTTATTACCGTAAAAGTGCATATACAAGACCCGGGTTTCTTACATTCCACCAAAAACATTAATTAGTAAAAAAAGAAAATAATTAGTAAAAAATGAGGGTGGGTCTGATATATGGGGGATCTTGTATATGCACTTTACGGTATTTTGATTGTTACGTAAAGGTCATATAGAAGATCCCCACAATAATAGATCCCCATGAATTAGACCCGGGCGCGAACTACGAGATCTATATTAATCAAACCTGATTGTTTTCAAATTTCTAGACTGCCTACTATAAATGCAAAATGTGCATGCTCTTCAAAATCTTTCTCCAAATGATATAAACTCAGCCGTGTACTAAACCTGGGTCTTGTATATGACCCTTTACGGTAATTCTGTAAGTGCGTTTATTTTTTGTTGTAAAAGGGTAGATCGTTGCTTGCAATAGACCTTTCTATATTTGGTGGATCGGGGCTTAGCATTTGGTACATTTTGTACATTTTGTACATAGTGTACATTTTGAACATAACATAGCGATAGTGTACACATAGTATACATAGTGAATATGGTGAACATGTTGAACATAGTTAGTATAGCAAACATACAGTAGTCGTTATGTATTTTATAGTTATGTAAACTATATAAAAGACTCGCCTTTTCGCTCAATAAAGACCAACTCTAAAACTTTTAAGTTCTTTAGTAGAAGTGTTTGGCTCTACTAATTCCCCCGAGGAGTAAATCTGTATTAACGGTAGGAATTGGTAACCAAATCCCGCACCGTCGTATTAACAAACCCGTGACGTAGTCTAAAGCTCTAATTGACCCTAGTTACTCGGACCAAGTCTTTCCATGCATATGCTCCGATTTTTGGAATGAAATTAGGGTTAGCATTTTTTTTAAACTTTTAAGATCAAATAACTTTTAATCTTGAAGTTTTTAAAAAATAATTTATTGTCATTGTGTATTACAAGGCAGATTTGTCTTTTACAATATTTATATTATATAGTAGTTTTTAAACTATTACAAAATCTCTTGTATATAGATAACTTATTTGATAAAGTTTTCAAAATGCTTAAAAATATTTTTTTCAAATAATTTAAAATTATGTATATCATATAACTATGTAAATTGATCTAAATTAAATTATCTTAGTATTTATCTAACATTATCTGAATCTAATTTTATTTAAGGTTTAATTATTTAATTATTAATAATTTATTATTAAAATAACTGTATAATATAAACTCTTTCTGCTGATTTTTTATATACAAAATCACAGAAACAAAACATTAGCAATAACATATAAATATTATTAAGAAACAAGACTTGCAACTTTAAGAAAAAAGAAAGAGAACCAAAAGTAATACCCAGTCTTTTAAAAGACTAGAGTAAGAAGAGCAGAAGTGGCAAAGATACAAAAGAAAATATAAAAAATTATTATTTTTTAAAAAATTAGCCTTTATTCTGTAATACAGATTAATTTTTATTACACAAGATACATAATATAAAATAAAAAATAAACAAAGAAAACACATCAAAAATCATATAATAAATATAAATAAAAAAATATACAAACACAACAATCCTATAGGCTATCATTAATAGAAATCAAGCAAATCTATAGAGTGCTGACATTTATTAGGTAATATTTTAGGAGTGGGGTAAAGCCAAACCTTACCTCAATATAATATTAAAATTTAATTAGTTAATAAAAATATTACCTGGGGGAGGGGTAGAGCTCTATAGTAAATAAATATTAGATAATAAATGTCAGAGCCCATATTTGAAAAAAATTAACATCTTAAATTTTACAGCTTATATCTTAATGAATTTTAAAGATATTTTGATAATTTAATATTTCAAAAAAGCTTAAATTGTAAGTTTTTTTTAAATATTAAATCATCAAGATAACTTTAAAATTTATTGAAATATGAGCTATGAAATTTAAGATATTAATTTTTTTAAATATATATTTGCTTGATTTTTATTGACAGCAGTCTATATAGTTATATAAAGCAAAAAATAACAAAAAATTTTAGAAAAAAGCTTACAATAGCAAAACAAATAAATGTATAAATAGAGGTACTTCAAAAAGAATCAAGACAATATAGAACTAGAGAAACAAAATATACAAAACTTGCACTTAAAAAAAAACAATACAGCATATTATGAATCAATACAATTAAAACTTAATTTAATTGGGTTTGGGTCTCATAGCTTATTAGTTAAGCTTCCAAACCTCACAGACAAGGTCAACAGTTTAAGTCAGGCTGGAGGCAAATTTTAATAAAAATTTGGTTTTGTAATCTATGAGGACTATAATCAGATGCGAAGCGTTATGGAAAGTTTAAGTGCAGTATGAAATCAGAATAAGAAGTTTCTGGAAAGAGACCAGGTTGTAGAGTAAAAGCACTATATATGATAGTAGCATCACAAAAGGTCTAGGCAGTAGAAAATCACATGTTTAAGTTCTCTGGTTGAGGTGACTCAGAGGCAATACCAACATCCTATCACCTCTATATTTGGCAATACCAACATCCTTATACCCAACTTGTGGGTACTTGCTTGGAAAGATGATTAATAAATCGTGCGTATAAGTCCTAATATAGAATAGTATTAGGTACTTGCTTGGAAAGGTGATACTATACTACCAAAACTGGAGTAGTGAGAAAAGCGGTGATATACAACTATGGGTTGTGATAAAGAATCATATTTTAAATGGAATTGGAAGTACCTCTGGTACTGGTAAAACAACTATAAAAGGTTACTTAACATAGAGAATGTAACCTACCCTGTACGTCTAAAGGTATCAATTCAGAGCTCTGGTCACACCTATATGAAAGTCTACAATAAAAAAGAGTTAGGATTTACTAATATTAATGTGATACTAACTAGAAATAGCTGGAAGTGATTTAGCTTGCTATTTAAATAATTTCATGATATTAGGCTGGTTTTTAACAAGATAGATCATTAAAGCAGAATTACAAAAATAGCTAATGGCTAGGAATATATAGTCTTGTAGTTGCTGTGCAACTCAAGAGGTTCTCATAAACTATAGTTCTGATGAATATCATATAAGGGAGTACTTAGAGGGTAGCAAGAAGTACACTGCATCAGATAACTTAGAAAACGCTAAGACCTAGAGATAGCAAACCGGGCGGCAGCAACAGAGACCTGGCTTGAGATATAAGGCTAGTATACTTGAGGATACAAGTGGAAGGTTTGGAGTATTCATGTAATATAGGTTGTATAAAAGAATACAAGCTAGCAGAAACTGAGTATGCAAACTCATAATAAGTCTCTTTTCCAACATATAATATCAATACTTCTTATGTGAAACTAGTGATAGCAGCAAGTACCTGGCTTGAAAAACATAGACGAGAGACCACCTATTAGAAGGAGTATACTAGTTTAGAAAATACTTCAAATAATAGATACACCAAATTGGAAGGCCATTAAGGATCAATTACCCAAATGAACTAATTTGGAGTTATCAAGGTTTGATAGTGAGACATAGGGTAAATACAATAGGTAACTAAATATAGTCTGAACACCAAATCCAGGTATAATCCAATATGTAGTAGAAACATAGCTAGAGGTCTGATCTAATGAATAGTATATTCGAATATTTATTAAATATTCGAATATTCGAATAATAATTTTTTTACCAAATTAAATATTCAAATATTTAATTTTTTCACCAAATATTTAATGAATATTCAATGAATATATATATAATTAAAATATTTTAATTAACCAATTAAAATAAAGAATTAAATTTAATAATCTTAGTATATTTAATTTATTTATATTAAATTAGTTTATAAATATAAAAAAATTTAGTAATTCATTTATTTATAAATATATATTTATTATTATAATATGATTGTTTGATTTTATATTAATTTATAATTTATAAGATTAAATTTATTTATTAGAATTCTTATAAAATAAAATATAAACTTATCCCTTAAACCATATTCCAGGCAAATTTGCCTGGAGAATTTAATTGTATTTAGTATTTTTTAAATAAAATAATAATTTATTAATGATATAGGGTATATATTTATTATAGAATA